AATCCAATATGGCCACCACGGCTGCCATTTTGAAAAACTATTTCAAACTTAAAGTAAAGATCTACTTGGCCGATTGAACTGAAACTTTGTAGGAATGATCGAATCATGGTCCTGACAAAGTGTTGTTATTTTTCGGGTCAATCAGAAATACAATTTGGCTGCCATGGCCGCTATTTTGCTACTAAGTTCTAATAGGCCGATCTCACTTAAAATTGGTCTAGGAATGATCAGCTCATGGTCCTGACAAAGTTAAGTTAACATTATACTATTTTTTACTCAAATTGGTACATATTTCAACAACAAAAATAAATACTGTAGACTCAGGTGACCGTTTAGGCCCATGGGCCTCTTGTTTAAATACATGTAGCTTGAACATAACTTGTTGACTCTCCGATCCATTGATCCAACCTCTTGTCTAACAGGAAAAGATACTAGTACACTTGTACTCCTGTTTTGATGTGGAAAAAGCATACACATATTTTTTTTTTTTATTTTGCCATATACTTCACTTTTTCCTACTGTCTTTCTTGTAAGTTAATTTTTGGCTTATAAACTGCATTGAAATCAGAATTATATAGGATGGACTTTTCGTTAAAATTTAGCTTTAAATATTTTACTGTGTACTGTCTTCGTTTAAAACAGTTGACAATACAGTTCAATATCATGATTGCTTAGCTTTGGTTTCATTGTTTTTATTAGCATTTTCCCATTAAACTTACACAAACCATGATAACATGGCATATATAATGTTATGCTGAATCAAGGTTGATGTTCATTATTGGTATTTGTTAGCTTGGTACAGGGTTTGCATCCGCGATACTCCAGGGGCTAGCTCACTTTCGCTCTCTGCACCCCTGGAATACGTTGTAGCAAAATTGAAGGCTCAGTGTGTACCACCTCGTTGATGAGGCAAGAAGACTAGTTCGATCCTTTGATGTTCATCAAAAGAATCTTGTGGTCATGTAATGGTAAAAATTGACAGGCTTTAAAGTCTGGTATCGCTCCTTTGTAATCTTCAAAGAACAAGTATCAGCCTAGCGATTGGTAATTTTTTTTTTACCCGAGACCACTCAAACAGCTATCTTCGTGCATTCAATTTTGCTATGACATATTCCAGGGGTGCAGAGAGCGAAACTGAGCGTAACCCCTGGATGCAGGGTTTGTTTACACCAAAGTGCCCACCCAAACAGCTTCTGCTGACATTTTGATACTCTTTTGACTTAAATAAATTTTCCCATAACTTTTCCCCTCTTCAGCATGAAAATTGAAAATATTGCATTTAGAATAAGAGTTGTGATGTTCACTTAAATGCCCAATGTGTTCACCTGTGATGTCACATAAAGGGAAATAACTCATGGAGAGCAGTGTGCTGATGATTTTATGTGTTATAGGTATCTTACCAGGAAATCAATCTGCATATCTGATTGGTTAAAGACATTTACATTTAGAAATAGTTAATCAAAATGATGTAGTCTCTAATTCTAAATCCTGGTATGATGCCTTACAACATTTAAATCTTCAAAAGGGTAGATAGCTCCTTGGTTTTGTTATGATGAAAAACACTTATTTTTAATAGTTTCTTCCTCACAATACACTATATAGCAGTCTTTGAATATTTTGTAGATTAGCATAATGATTATTTTGATACTATGTGGTCTTTCTGGCCAAAATAATTTAATATTTGCTTGTAAAGGTGATCACAAATAATATACATTTATATAAACTGTATTTATGTAGAATCTCGTCATTATGAAATAAACAGAGGCATATATTTTTTCGTACTTGTTTGCTGGGTTTTTTAATTGATTGCTGGGGGTCGACTTGCTAACAACAACTGATGTCATTAAAAGATGGTGTCCATTTATGAATGTGTCACTCGGGGCCTACTTTCAATAGCCACCACAATGGAATGTCGATTGGTATGGATGTAGTCCGAGATGGACCCAGAGGTCTTACAAAATCTACGACCCTTGTATGTTATCTTTAAAATAGGAGAATACAGGCTTGGCTGAGAGAAATATCTCCACTTGCCATTTAAACTCGTAGCAGTCACATGCTCATTTTGAGAATTACAAGTGCATGCAACCTTCCTACAGTTGGAATATGATGGACGCCATCAATGTACATATTGTGTTTTCGATTTTATCTCTGAAGAAAATTAGGATTTCTTGAGCTTGTTACCAACCACGTATCGCGTAACAAGAAGAAACTCTAGGGACTAGAGAGATCAAGTCCCAAGACATCGTTTAAACTTCACCGGATTCTCACCCAAAATATTTTATTTAGATAAACATCACCATTATATTTGTAACCATCTATTTCCAGAATCCACTCAGGCGTAAGGAAGGCTAGAAGCTGTTATCTCGGCCATCCTCATTGGTAGTTCTAATGGGGGACGTTACAGCTTCCTTGATTTTTCATTACTGCTACCTTGGATAACAAGTGTAGGATGGTGGGTGTCATGACGGACATGTCTGCTGCAATCGACGTCACTGATCATATCATGCTCAACAAACTCTTGGATTACTTTGAATTTGTTAGCCTGTGATGCATTATGCTGGTTCCAGTCCTATTTGAGTGACGTGAACGACGACAGGGTGCTGACGATATTGCCTTTATTAGAAACTGACTTGTCATATTTGTCATTGTCATAGCATAAGCTATTATTGTTATGCCGTTGACACATATACTTGTTTACCAAACCACAAGACAACTTGGACACGATGACAGAATGTCTTGAAGCTTGTCTGACAGGCACCAGTACCAGGATGATGGGCACTAGTACCAGGATGACAGGCACCAGTACCAGGATGACGGGCACTAGTACCAGGATGACGGGCACTAGTACCAGGATGACGGGCACTAGAACCAGGATGACGGGCACTAGTACCAGGATGACGGGCACTAGTACCAGGATGACGGGCACTAGAACCAGGATGACGGGCACTAGTACCAGGATGACGGGCACCAGTACCAGGATGACGGGCACTAGTCCCAGGATGACGGGCACTAGAACCAGGATGACGGGCACTAGTACCAGGATGACGGGCACTCGAACCAGGATGACGGGCACTAGTACCAGGATGACGGGCACTAGTCCCAGGATGACGGGCACTAGAACCAGGATGACGGGCACTAGTACCAGGATGACGGGCACGAGTACCAGGATGACGGGCACTAGTACCAGGATGCCGGGCACTAGTACCAGGATGACAGGCACCAGTGCCAGGATGACGGGCACTAGTACCAGGATGCGGGCACCAGTACCAGGATGACGGGCTCTAGTACCAGGATGCGGGCACCAGTACCAGGATGATGGGCACTAGTACCAGGATGACGGGCACCAGTACCATGATGACGGGCACCAGTACCAGGATGACGGGCACAAGTACCAGGATGCGGGCACCAGTACCAAGATGATGGGCACTAGTACCAGGATGACGGGCACCAGCACCAGGATGACGGGCACCAGTACCAGGATGAAGGGCACTAGTACCAGGATGCGGGCACCAGTTCCAGGATGACGGGCTCTAGTACCAGGATGCGGGCCCCAGTACCAGGATGATGGGCACTAGTACCAGGATGACGGGCACCAGCACCAGGATGACG